GTTATTGTATTTATACGAACATCACACAGGGTTATTGTATTTATACTAACATCACACAGTGTTATTGTATTTATACTAACATCACACAGTGTTATTGTATTTATACTAACATCACACAGGGTTATTGTATTTATACTAACATCACACAGGGTTATTGTATTTATACTAACATCACACAGTGTTATTGTATTTATACTAACATCACACAGTGTTATTGTATTTATACTAACATCACACAGGGTTATTGTATTTATACTAACATCACACAGGGTTATTGTATTTATACTAACATCACACAGTGTTATTGTATTTATACTAACATCACACAGTGTTATTGTATTTATACTAACATCACATAGGGTTATTGTGTTTATACTAACATCACACAGGGTTACTGTATTTATACTAACATCACACAGGGTTATTGTATTTATACTAACATCACACAGTGTTATTGTATTTATACTAACATCACACAGGGTTATTGTATTTATACTAACATCACACAGTGTTCTTGTATTTATACTAACATCACACAGGGTTATTGTGTTTATACTAACATCACACAGTGTTATTGTATTTATACGAACATCACACAGGGTTATTGTATTTATACTAACATCACACAGTGTTATTGTATTTATACTAACATCACACAGGGTTATTGTATTTATACTAACATCACACAGGGTTATTGTATTTATACTAACATCACACAGTGTTATTGTATTTATACTAACATCACACAGTGTTATTGTATTTATACTAACATCACACAGTGTTCTTGTATTTATACTAACATCACACAGGGTTATTGTATTTATACTAACATCACACAGGGTTATTGTATTATATACTAACATCACACAGTGTTATTGTATTTATACTAACATCACACAGTGTTATTGTATTTATACTAACATCACACAGTGTTATTGTATTTATACTAACATCACACAGTGTTATTGTATTTATACTAACATCACACAGTGTTATTGTATTTATACTAACATCACACAGTGTTATTGTATTTATACTAACATCACACAGTGTTCTTGTATTTATACTAACATCACACAGGGTTATTGTGTTTATACTAACATTACACAGTGTTATTGTATTTATACTAACATCACACAGTGTTATTGTATTTATACTAACATCACTCAGTGTTATTGTATTTATACTAACATCACACAGGGTTATTGTATTCATACTAACATCACACAGGGTTATTGTATTTATACTAACATCACACAGTGTTATTGTATTTATACTAACATCACACAGTGTTATTGTATTTATACTAACATCACACAGGGTTATTGTATTTATACTAACATAGTGCAGGGTTATTGTATTTATACTAACATCACACAGTGTTACTGTATTTATACTAACATCACACAGTGTTATTGTATTTATACTAACATCACACAGGGTTATTGTGTTTATACTAACATCACACAGGGTTATTGTATTTATACTAACATCACACAGTGTTATTGTATTTATACTAACATCACGCAGTGTTATTGTATTTATACTAACATCACACAATGTTATTGTATTTATACTAACATAGTGCAGGGTTCTTGTATTTATACTAACATCACACAGTGTTATTGTATTTATACTAACATCACACAGTGTTATTGTATTTATACTAACATCACACAGTGTTATTGTATTCTTTACTAACATCACAGTGTTATTGTATTTATACTAACATCACACAGTGTTATTGTATTTATACTAACATCACACAGTGTTATTGTATTTATACTAACATCACACAGTGTTATTGTATTTATACTAACATCACACAGTGTTATTGTATTTATACTAACAACACATAGTGTTATTGTATTTATACTAACATCACAGTGTTATTGTATTTATACTAACATCACACAGTGTTATTGTATTTATACTAACATCACACGGTGTTATTGTATTTATACTAACAACACATAGTGGTATTGTATTTATACTAACATCACACAGTGTTATTGTATTTATACTAACATCACACAGTGTTATTGTATTTATACTAACATCACACAGTGTCATTGTATTTATACTAACATCACACAGTGTTATTGTATTTATACTAACATCACAGTGTTATTATATTTATACTAACATCACACAGGGTTATTGTATTTATACTAACATCACTCAGGGTTATTGTATTTATACTAACATCACACAGTGTTATTGTATTTATACTAACATCACACAAGGTTATTGTATTTATACTAACATCACAAAGTGTTATTGTATTTATACTAACATCACACAAGGTTATTGTATTTATACTAACATCACACAAGGTTATTGTATTTATACTAACATCACACAGTGTTATTGTATTTATACTAACATCACACAGTGTTATTGTATTTATACTAACATCACACAAGGTTATTGTATTTATACTAACATCACAAAGTGTTATTGTATTTATACTAACATCACACAAGGTTATTGTATTTATACTAACATCACACAAGGTTATTGTATTTATACTAACATCACACAGTGTTATTGTATTTATACTAACATCACACAGGGTTATTGTATTTATACTAACATCACACAGTGTTAATGTATTTATACTAACATCACTCAGTGTTATTGTATTTATACTAACATCACACAGTGTTATTGTATTTATACTAACATAGCGCAGTGTTATTGTATTTATACTAACATCACACAGTGTTATTGTATTTATACTAACATCACAGAGTGTTATTGTATTTATACTAACATCACACAGTGTTATTGTATTTATACTAACATCACACAGTGTTATTGTATTTATACTAACATCACACAGTGTTATTGTATTTAGACTAACATCACACAGGGTTATTGTATTTATACTAACATCACACAGTGGTATTGTATTTATACTAACATCACACAGTGGTATTGTATTTATACTAACATCACACAGTGTTATTGTATTTATACTAACATCACACAGTGTTATTGTATTTATACTAACAACACATAGTGGTATTGTATTTATACTAACATCACACAGTGTTATTGTATTTATACTAACATCACACAGTGTTATTGTATTTATACTAACATCACACAGTGTCATTGTATTTATACTAACATCACACAGTGTTATTGTATTTATACTAACATCACAGTGTTATTATATTTATACTAACATCACACAGGGTTATTGTATTTATACTAACATCACTCAGGGTTGTTGTATTTATACTAACATCACACAGTGTTATTGTATTTATACTAACATCACACAAGGTTATTGTATTTATACTAACATCACAAAGTGTTATTGTATTTATACTAACATCACACAAGGTTATTGTATTTATACTAACATCACACAAGGTTATTGTATTTATACTAACATCACACAGTGTTATTGTATTTATACTAACATCACACAGTGTTATTGTATTTATACTAACATCACACAAGGTTATTGTATGTATACTAACATCACAAAGTGTTATTGTATTTATACTAACATCACACAAGGTTATTGTATTTATACTAACATCACACAAGGTTATTGTATTTATACTAACATCACACAGTGTTATTGTATTTATACTAACATCACACAGGGTTATTGTATTTATACTAACATCACACAGTGTTAATGTATTTATACTAACATCACTCAGTGTTATTGTATTTATACTAACATCACACAGTGTTATTGTATTTATACTAACATAGCGCAGTGTTATTGTATTTATACTAACATCACACAGTGGTATTGTATTTATACTAACATCACAGAGTGTTATTGTATTTATACTAACATCACACAGTGTTATTGTATTTATACTAACATCACACAGTGTTATTGTATTTATACTAACATCACACAGTGTTATTGTATTTAGACTAACATCACACAGGGTTATTGTATTTATACTAACATCACACAGTGGTATTGTATTTATACTAACATCACACAGTGGTATTGTATTTATACTAACATCACACAGGGTTATTGTATTTAGACTAACATCACACAGTGTTATTGTATTTATACTAACATCACACAGTGGTATTGTATTTATACTAACATCACACAGTGTTCTTGTATTTATACTAACATCACACAACGTTATTGTATTTATATTAACATCACACAGTGTTATTGTATTTATACTAACATCACACAGTGTTATTGTATTTATACTAACATCACACAAGGTTATTGTATTTATACTAACATCACAGAGTGTTATTGTATTTATACTAACATCACACAACGTTATTGTATTTATACTAACATCACACAGTGTTATTGTATTTATACTAACATCACACAACGTTATTGTATTTATACTAACATCACACAGTGTTATTGTATTTATACTAACATCACACAGTGTTATTGTATTTATACTAACATCACACAGTGTTATTGTATTTATACTAACATCACACAGTGTTATTGTATTTATACTAACATAGCGCAGGGTTATTTAATGTACTTTTTACTTTACCAAAACGTTCACAATTAACGCGAGCGCACGCTGCAATTAATTCTCCTTTTTTTTAAAGACAATTTTTCAGGGATTTTTTTTTGTTGTGTACCGTACAGATGTATTAGTTTTAACGTTCGCCAATTATGGTTTGGGGTAAATTCTTTCCGAGTTTCGTAAACGGTGGATTTGAGGCGACGCCGTAGGAAGAGGACAAAATAAATAACTATACATACTGTACTTTAAATGATTAACAATTAAGAATGTTTTCATGCCATTGCTAAAGTGCGTTAAATAACCCTGAGCTGCCCCGATGTATTCTTTGGTTCGCTCGTGTAAAGTCACGGCGGTATTTGTTTGATCTTTTTATACCGACGACGCCACTTTACCCAAACAACCAAAGAGTCAGGGGGGAGGGGGGGGAGGGGTGAGGGGGGAGGCGGAGTCAGGGGGGGGAGGCGGAGTCAGGGGGGGGAGGCGGAGTCAGGGGGGGGAGGCGGAGTCAGGGAGGAGGCGGAGTCAGGGGGGGAGGGGCTGTCCCTGACTCCGCCTCCCGCCGAGGCCACAGGGCCCCGGCTCTCCGCGACCATCCCCAGGCCGAGTTTCCTGGTCTCGGCTCCTCGTCCAACCTCCTCCTGCACTTCTTCAGCCTCCACCGCCGCCGCCGCCGCCGCCTCGTCTACGTCCACCTCGTTCTCCTCATTAGTTGACCACCACCACCACCATCATCATCGTCCAGCGTCACCCCCTAGCGCGTCCACGTCAACTCCACCTCCACCTCGTTGCAGCTAAGTCCGACCTCCGACCTCGTCCGCAGCCTTCCTCGTCGACTCCAACTCCAACCTCGTCTACCCCCCCCCCCCCCCTGCTGCTCACAGCACTCGCCCCCTCGCTCCCTCGGAGGGACCCCCAGGGCCCCCTCGCCCCCTCGGGGACCTCTGCGAGAGTGCCCCCCCCCCCCCAGCTCCCCCCTTACAGAGGGACTCCACTCCCCCTTTCTGGGGGTCCCCGCCCCGGCGACTCTTCATGGTCCCCCGCTTAGGGGGGGGGGGTGACCTTTTTTTCATCCTAGAGACCCCCCAAAACTAGGGACCCCGGTTCGCTCCCTCCTACCCCCCCCCCCCCGGCTTAGGGGATCGCTTGAAGATCGGGGGACCGCTTCTCGACCCCCGGGTGCTACTCACAGAGACCCCCTTCGGTTAGCCGGGGTCCCCTAGGACCTGAGGCCCCCCCCCCCCCACTCGGGAGCCATGAGGCGGATCCCCGACGGACCCCTGTGGGCCTGCGGGGTCCCGCGGGCTCGCTGGGTCCCTCTGCTGCTGCTGCTGCTGGTCCCACACTCGCTGGGGTCCCTAGCAGGTGAGAGAGGCGGTGGTGTTGTTGTGTTGTTGTGGTGTTGTTGTGGTGTTGTGGTGGTGTTGTTGTGGTGTCGTTGTTGTGGTGTTGTGGTGGTGGTGTTGTTGTGGTGGTGTTGTTGTGGTGTTGTGTTGTTGTGGTGTTGTTGTGGTGTTGTTGTTTTGGTGTTGTTGTGGTGGTGTTGTGGTGTTGTGTTGTTGTGGTGTTGTGTTGTGGTGTTGTTGTTGTGTTGTGGTGTTGTTGTGGTGTTGTGCTGGTGTTGTGTTGTTGTGGTGGTGTTGTTGTTGTGGTGTTGTGGTGTTGTTGTGGTGGTGTTGTTGTTGTGGTGTTGTGTTGTTGTGGTGTTGTTGTGGTGTTGTTGTTGTGGTGGTGGTGTTGTTGTGGTGTTGTGTTGTTGTGGTGTTGTGTTGTGGTGTTGTTGTTGTGTTGTGGTGTTGTTGTGGTGTTGTGCTGGTGTTGTGGTGTTGTGTTGTTGTGGTGGTGTTGTTGTTGTGGTGTTGTGGTGTTGTTGTGGTGGTGTTGTTGTTGTGGTGTTGTGTTGTTGTGGTGTTGTTGTGGTGTTGTTGTTGTGGTGGTGGTGTTGTTGTGGTGTTGTGTTGTTGTGGTGGTGTTGTTGTGGTGTTGTTGTGATGTTGTTGTGGTGTTGTTGTGGTGTTGTGTTGTTGTGGTGGTGTTGTTGTGGTGTTGTTGTGGTGGTGTTGTTGTGTTGTTGTGGTGTTGTTGTGGTGGTGTTGTGGTGTTGTTGTGGTGTTGTTGTTGTGGTGTTGTTGTTGTGGTGTTGTTGTGGTGTTGTTGTGTTGTTGTGGTGTTGTGTTGTTGTGGTTGTGTTGTTGTGGTGTTGTTGTTGTGGTGTTGTTGTGGTGGTGTTGTTGTTGTGGTGTTGTGTTGTTGTGGTGTTGTTGTGTTGTTGTGGTGGTGTTGTTGTGGTGTTGTTGTTGTGGTGTTGTGTTGTTGTGGTGGTGTTGTTGTGGTGTTGTTGTGGTGGTGTTGTTGTTGTTGTGGTGTTGTGGTGTTGTTGTTGTGGTGTTGTTGTTGTGGTGTTGTTGTTGTGGTGTTGTTGTTGTGGTGTTGTTGTGGTGTTGTTGTTGTGGTGTTGTTGTGGTGTTGTTGTTGTGCTGCTGCTGCTGGTCGTGATCCCACACTCGCTGGGGTCCCGAGCAGGTGAGAGAGGCGGTGTTGTTGTGGTGTTGTTGTTGTGGTGGTGTTGTTGTGGTGTTGTTGTTGTGGTGTTGTTGTTGTGGTGGTGTTGTAGTGGTGGTATTGTGGTGTTGTGGTGTTGTTGTGGTGTTGTTGTTGTGGTGTTGTTGTGGTGGTGGTGTTGTGGTGTTGTTGTGGTGTTGTTGTTGTGTTGTGGTGGTGTTGTTGTTGTGGTGTTGTTGTGGTGTTGCTGTGGTGGTGTTGTTGTGGTGTTGTTGTGTTGTTGTGGTGTTGTGCTGGTGTTGTTGTGGTGTTGTGTTGTTGTGGTGTTGTTGTTGTGGTGTTGTTGTGTAGTTGTTGTGGTGTTGTTGTTGTGTTGTGTTGTTGTGGTTGTGGTTGTGTTGTTGTGGTGGTGTTGTTGTGTTGTTGTTGTGGTGTTGTTGTTGTGGTGTTGTTGTTGTGGTGTTGTTGTTGTGGTGTTGTGGTGTTGTTGTTGTGGTGTTGTTGTGGTGCTGCTGCTGCTGCTGCTGGTCGTGATCCCACACTCGCTGGGGTCCCGAGCAGGTGAGAGAGGCGGTGTTGTTGTGTTGTTGTGGTGTTGTTGTTGTGGTGGTGTTGTTGTGGTGTTGTTGTGGTGTTGTTGTTGTGGTGTTGTTGTGGTGTTGTTGTTGTGGTGGTGTTGTTGTGGTGTTGTTGTTGTGGTGTTGTTGTAGTGGTGGTGTTGTGGTGTTGTTGTGGTGTTGTTGTGGTGTTGTTGTGGTGGTGTTGTGGTGTTGTTGTGGTGTTGTTGTTGTGTTGTGGTGTTGTTGTGGTGTTGTTGTTGTGGTGTTGTTGTGGTGTTGCTGTGGTGGTGTTGTTGTGGTGTTGTTGTTGTGGTGTTGTTGTGGTGTTGTTGTGGTGTTGTTGTTGTGGTGGTGTTGTTGTGTTGTTGTTGTGGTGTTGTTGTGGTGTTGTTGTTGTGGTGTTGTTGTGGTGTTGTTGTGGTGCTGTGGTGGTGTTGTTGTTGTTGTGTTGTTGTTGTGGTGGTGTGGTGGTGGTAATTATTGTGGTGTTGTGGTGGTATGGTGGTGGTGATGTAGTGGTGGTGGTATGGTGGTGGTAGTGATGGTGGTGTTGTTGTGATGGTGTTCTTGTGGTGGTGGTGTGGTGGTGGTGTGGTGGTGGTGGTGGTGTGGTGGTGGTAGTGATGGTGGTGTTGTGGTGTGGTGGTGTTATGGTGGTGGTGGTGGTAGTGGTGATGGTGTTGGTGGTGGTGTTGTTGTGGTAGTGGTGGTGGTGTTGTTGTGGTGTTGTTGTTGTGGTGTTGTTGTGGTGGTGTTGTTGTGGTGGTGGTGTTGTGGTGTTGTGGTGTTGTTGTTGTGGTGTTGTTGTGGTGTTGTTGTGTTGTTGTGGTGTTGTTGTGGTGTTGTTGTTGTGGTGTTGTTGTGGTGTTGTTGGTGTGGTGTTGTTGTGGTGTTGTTGTGTTGTGGTGTTGTTGTGGTGTTGTTGTGTTGTGGTGTTGTTGTGGTGTTGTTGTGGTGTTGTTGTGTTGTGGTGTTGTTGTGTTGTTGTGGTGTTGTTGTTGTGGTGTTGTTGTTGTGGTGTTGTGTTGTGGTGTTGTGTTGTTGTTGTGTTGTTGTTGTGTTGTTGTTGTGGTGTTGTTGTGGTGGTGTTGTTGTGGTGGTGTTGTTGTGGTGTTGTTGTGGTGTTGTTGTGGTGTTGTTGTTGTGTTGTTGTGGTGTTGTTGTTGTTGTTGTTGTGGTGGTGGTGTGGTGGTGGTAGTGATTGTGGTGTTGTGGTGGTATGGTGGTGGTGATGTAGTGGTGGTGGTATGGTGGTGGTAGTGATGGTGGTGTTGTTGTGATGGTGTTGTTGTGGTGGTGGTGTGGTGGTGGTGGTGGTAGTGGTGGTGGTGTGGTGGTGGTGGTGTTGTTGTGGTAGTGGTGGTGATGGTGGTGTGGTGGTGTTGTTGTGGTGGTGTTGTTGTTGTGGTGGTGTTGTTGTGGTGGTGGTGTTGTGTTGTTGTTGTTGTGGTGTTGTTGTTGTGGTGTTGTTGTGTTGTTGTGGTGTTGTTGTGGTGTTGTTGTTGTGGTGTTGTTGTGGTGTTGTTGGTGTGGTGTTGTTGTGGTGTTGTTGTGTTGTGGTGTTGTTGTGGTGTTGTTGTGGTGTTGTTGTGTTGTTGTGGTGTTGTTGTGTTGTTGTTGTGTTGTTGTTGTGTTGTTGTGGTGTTGTTGTTGTGGTGTTGTTGTTGTGGTGTTGTTGTTGTTGTGTTGTTGTTGTGTTGTTGTTGTGTTGTTGTGTTGTTGTGGTGTTGTGGTGTTGTTGTGGTGTTGTTGTGTTGTTGTGGTGGTGTTGTTGTGGTGTTGTTGTGTTGTTGTGGTGTTGTTGTTGTTGTTGTGGTGGTGGTAGTGATTGTGGTGTTGTGGTGGTGATGTTGTGGTGGTGGTATGGTGGTGGTAGTGATGGTGGTGTTGTTGTGATGGTGTTGTTGTGGTGGTGGTGGTGTGGTGGTGGTGGTGGTGGTAGTGGTGGTGTTGTGGTGTGGTGGTATGGTGGTGGTGGTAGTGTTGATGGTGGTGGTGTGGTGGTATGGTGGTGGTGGTAGTGTTGATGGTGGTGGTGGTAGTGGTGATGGTGGTGGTAGTGGTGGTGGTGTTGTTGTGGTAGTGGTGGTGATGGTGGTGGTGGTGTTGTGGTGTGGTGGTGTTATGGTGGTGGTGGTAGTGGTGATGGTGGTAGTGGTGGTGGTGTTGTTGTGGTAGTGGTGGTGATGGTGGTGGTGGTGTTGTTGTGGTGGTGGTGGTGTGGTGGTAGTGATGGTGGTGTTGTGGTGTGGTGGTGTTATGGTGGTGGTAGTGGTGATGGTGGTGGTAGTGGTGGTGGTGTTGTTGTGGTAGTGGTGGTGATGGTGGTGGTGTGGTGGTGGTGGTAGTGGTGGTGTGGTGGTGGTAGTGATGGTGCTGTTGTGGTGTGATGGTGTTGTGGTGGTATGGTGGTGATGGTGTGATGGTGGTGGTGTGATGGTAGTGGTGTTGTCGTGGTGGTAGTGTTGTGGTGGTGATGGTATGGTGGTGGTGTTGTGGTATGGTGGTAGTGTTGTGGTCATGATGGTATGGTGGTGGTGTTGTGGAGATGGTGGTGTGCTCATCTTGGTGTGGTGTTGTGATGGTGATGTGGTGGTGTTGTGATGGTGTGGTGTTGCTGCCGTGGTGATGTGATGGTGATCGATGGTGGTGGAGGTTGATGTATTGTTCGTGATGATGGTGTTGTAGTGAAAGTGATAGAATTATGGCATTTGATGTGATTGTGTTTTTCTTTATGTCATTGGTGATGGTGTTCTGCTGTCAGGGATGGTGACGGTTGTGATGGTGATGATTGGGATGACAGTTTTGTGTTGATGGTGATGTTAATGGTGTAATTGTGCTAATTGTGATGTTCTGCAAGTTATGATGTAGGTGTTAATGATGGTGTTGGCTGCGCTGTGGTAATGGTGTGTATATGTTGCCGTTTTTGATAGTGTAATGACAGCATGGTATTGTTGTGGTTACATTGGCGATTATTGTAATTATGGTAAGGATGGTGCTGTGGTATGAATGATGTAATGATGATGTGGTGATGGTGGCGTGGTATTGATAATTGTGATGACGACGCAGTGATGGTGGCGTTTTCGTGTCAATGAAGATGATGGTGTTGGTGTTATGGTTTGATGTAACGTATGTTTGAACTTCTTCCCGCGCCGCATGTAGCCAACCAACTGTGCTCATCGAAGGTGCTGTTGATGATGTTGGTGTAGTCCTAACGATGTGATGATGATTGTTGTGATGTGATACAGTACTAACAATGATGATACCACTATGTTATGACGGGTGGTGATGATGCCACTATTGATGATGATGATGGTGATATTCAAGTTGTCGTAACGGTGGTGTTTAGGCGTGGTGTTGGTGGTGATGGCGTTGGGGGATCTTATTAACATCATCGTGATGATGGTAATAATAATAATGATGGTGGTGGTGCTGGGTTATTTGTTTACCCGGGAAAGTCTGAGTCTCGAGACGCAGTAGGGGACAATTGCCACTGCTGCTGTGTGTGAATCCAGTTAAGGAATCTGGGACGCCACGGTGGTTTGGAGATGTTAACTACCTCGCCGGGTATACACGAGTCATGGGTTCAACCCCGGCCCCTGATGAATGTTGTATATTTGGAGTTTGCGGTGTCTCTCTCTCTCGCTCCCCGTGGGGGCGTGGATTTGTCTCTGGATCCTCCGGTTTTCCCCTCCACATTTAAAATCAACATCACGTGCTTCGAAGTATTTGGCTGCTATAGATTTCCACGTGATAAGCCACTTCCGTTTGAGCTATCTTTTCTGATAGCCAGGTCGCTTCTTTATTTAATTTGCAGGTCATATTTCAGCATTGGGGTGTATGGCCAATTTCGCTGTTAGTGTCTCTGGTTCATGGCTGATTTAACTTCTTACGCACCGCACGTAGCAAACCGTGATAATCGGAAGTGAGTGACTCATAAGGCTGTAACGTCCAGAGATGAGTCTTGCCAGGAAATGGCTCTGTTGATGTTACGTCAAGTTTTTGGAGTTGGCAATGGGTTCATTACCCCGTAGTGGTCTCGCATAGTGACTCATGGACACACGGAGAGACCCACAGACTCGCAATGGAGTCCTACATCCTCACATTGGGATTCATAGAGTCACAGAGATTTCACAGTGGTTCAACTCGTGTGTCGTCTCACTGAGTGACTCATGGACTCACGGAGAGACCCACAGACTCGCATGTAGCCCTATATACTCACACTAGCTTTACTACCCGGCTTCGCCCGGGACTTGGATTCACCACGGCCGGCCGCCTTTGTCTCCCCAGTGGCGATGTTGACACACCACTTACTCGTTTGAGGCTGAGTCGACCTAGGGGAGGCCCAGGACCGGTTCAAATAATCGTCACCGGTGGTGGCCGTGAGCGGGAATGAAACTCGATGGTGGTGGTGGTGGAGGTGCAGTCTCATCTAGAATGTAGGCAAGTTCAGATCGTTGTTGTTGTTGTTCACACTTCTGTCAACCGATTTCATTTGTGGTGATGTCGGTGATGACGATATCGTCATCTGTAGGTCGGCGATGGCGATGTCGTTATGTGTATGTTGGTGTTGGTGGTGATGGCATTGTAGGTCGACTCAGCCTCAAATGAGTACCTGGTCTCATGTGTAAACATCTCCACTGGGGAGACAAAGGTGGTCGGGCGTGGTGCTGGCCACCCACCTCCTTCGTGTGTTGTGCCGGCCTTCATTGATGCTCGCTAACAGCACTTACCCCAACAGTCTGTTAAGGCTATAGGGGCGGATCTTTGTCTTTGGGGAGTGGTGGCGCAGTGGTTAGCGCACTGTGCTACGAACCCGGCGACCTGAAGTCAATTGCTGCTCACGAACAATAACAGTGGCCACCCACCTCCTTCTGTGCCATTCCGGCCTTCATTGATGCTCGCTAACAGCACTTTCCCCAATAGGTTATATAGGGTATGTTTGACTTTGGTGTTGTAGGTGGTAATTGTGATGATGTCAGTGGTGATGTTGTTGATGAGGATCGTGATGATGATGGTGATGGTGAAGATAGCGGTGCTGGTGTTAATGGCGACGATGATGATGGTGGTGATGTTGTTGATGAGGATCGTGATGATGATGGTGAAGATAGCGGTGCTGGTGTTAATGGCGACGATGATGATGTCAGTGGTGATGTTGTTGATGAGGATCGTGATGATAATGATGGTGAAGATAGCGGTAGTGGTATCAATGACGACGATCATAACGGTGAAAGTGATGATGTTGTTACTTGATTCGTCGCTTTCGTGACTGCAGGAATTCCTCTTTGGTTCCTCCGGTAAAGTCACGGAGAAAGAGAAAATAATAAATCAAATAATAGCGGACGACGTTTGGATTTGCAACACTAGCAATCATCATCAGGTACAAATGAAAAGAGAAAACAAACCTAGTGAACTTAGAAATAAAATGCGATACAACACAGAGAGTCGGCCAACACAACAGCAGTCAACACCCCACCTGGTTGATTAACGTTCTTCCAAAGAATGCTAAATTTAAGAGAGGGATAAAACACAGAACCGTGCACGCACAGGCAGACACAAAGGCGTAGGCATTGTTTTCTCTGTGTGCCTGTGTGTGTGTGTGTCTCTCTCTGTGTGCGTCTCTGTCGTTAACGATAATGGTGACGGCATTGTTGACGATGGCGGTACTTGTATTAATGACGATGACGACGACGATGCTAATGATGTCGCTGTTGGTGCTGCCGTGGCGTCCGTAGAGAAGGACCTGTCGCGCATGCTGCACCACTACAGCCTGCTCTCGCTGGGGGAGCTCACACACTCCGTGTCCCGCCGAGCCCTGGGGGCTCCGGCTTCCCTGGAGAGATACCTCACCTTTTCGGCCCTCGACAGGTAAGCCCAGGGCCTCGCTGGCGAACTTCGCCAGCGTGTGTGCAGAGAGTGAGTGAGTGAATGTGTGTGTAGAGTGTGTGTTTGTGTGTGTGTTGTGTACAGAGAGTGAGTGTGTTGTGTGCAGAGAATGCGTGTGTGTGTGCAGAGAGTGAGTGAGTGTCTTGTGTGCAGAGAGTGAGTGTGTTGTGTACAGAGAGTGAGTGTGTGTTGGGCGCAGAGAGTGAGTGAGTGTGTTAGGCACAGAGAGTGAGTGTGTTGTGTGTAGAGAGTGAATGAGTGTGTTGTGTACAGAGAGTGAGTGAGTGTGTGTGTGCAGAGAGTGAGTGTGTGTGTGTGCAGAGAATGCGTGTGTGTGTTGTGTACAGAGAGTGAATGAGTGTGTTGTGTACAGAGAGTGAGTGAGTGTGTTGTGTGTAGAGAGTGAGTGTGTGTGTTGTGTACAGAGAGTGAGTGAGTGTGTTGTGTACAGAGAGTGAGTGAGTGTGTGTGTGTAGAGAGTGAGTGAGTGTGTTGTGTACAGAGAGTGAGTGAGTGTGTTGTGTACAGAGAGTGAGTGAGTGTGTTGTGTGTAGAGAGTGAGTGAGTGTGTTGTGTGTAGAGAGTGAGTGAGTGTGTACAGAGAGTGAGTGAGTGTGTTGTGTACAGAGAGTGAGTGAGTGTGTTGGGCACAGAGAGTGAGTGAGTGTGTGTTGTGTGCAGAGAGTGAGTGTGTTGTGTGCACAGAGAGAGAGTGAGTGTGTTGTGTACAGAGAGTGTGTGTGTTGGGCACAGAGAGTGAGTGAGTGTGTACAGAGAGAGAGTGAGTGTGTGTTGGGCACAGATAGTGAGTGAGTGTGTTGTGTGCAGAGAGAGTGAGTGTGTTGGGCAGAGAGAGAGTGAGTGTGTACAGAGAGAGTGAGTGTGTTGGGCAGAGAGAGAGTGTGTGTGTGTGTGTCCGCAGAGAGAATATGGCCATGTGTAGAGTATGCGTGTGCAGTGTGTGCAGAGAGTGTGTGTGTGTGTGTGTGCAGAGAGTGTGTGTGTGCAGACTGTGTGTGTACAGAGTGTGTGTGTAGAGTGTGTGTGTGTGCTGACTGTGTGTGTGTGTGCAGAGTGTGTGTGTGTGTAGTGTGTGTGTGTGCAGAGTGTGTGTGTGTGTGTGCAGAGTGTGTGTGTGTGCAGACTGTGTGTGTGAGTGTAGAGTGTGTGTGTGTGTAGAGAGTTTGTGTGTATATAGAGTGTGTGTGTAGAGTGTGTGTGTGTGAAGATTGTTTCTGTGTCGAGTGTGTGTGTGTGTGCAGAGTGTGTGTGTGCAGACTGTGTGTGTAGAGAGTGTGTGTGTGTGTGCAGAGTGTATGTGTGTAGAGTGTGTGTGTGTGTGTAGAGTGTGTGTGTGTAGTGTGTGTGTGTAGAGAGTTTGTGCGAGTGGTTTAGACTGTTGGTGCAGCGATTGAGCGTTCTGTGCGACGAGCCCAGCGACCCGAGGTCGATTCCCACTCACAAGCAACATCGGTTACTCTTATCTGAACCGGTGAGCAGGAATCGAACTTGGGTTACCGGTTTGTAGCACAGCATTCTTAACCACTGCACTGCCGTTCCCCACAAACACCACACAAACAAAGATCCCCCGTGTAGCCTTTAATAGACTTTTGGGGCAAGTGCTGTTGGCGAGTAGCACTGATGAAGGCCGGCGGGGCACACGAGGGGATGGGTGGCCCGCACCACGCCTGGCCACCTTTGTCTCCCCAGTGGCGATGTTTACACACCGCACCAGGTACTCAATCGAGGCCGAGTCGACCTAGGCGAGGCCCAGGACCGTCAAGACTATCGTCACCGGTGTTCGTGAACGGAAATCGAACCCGGGTCGCCGGGTTCATAGCGCAGCATGCTATTTGTTAAAACAACAACAACAACCGCCATTCGCCAGTAAGTGGCGGTGACGTCACCACGACGCTTGTGCCAGGCCATGTGCACCCTGAGGCCACGTGAAGTGCCGAACGCCCGCTGGCAGGAGGTCACGGGGCAGACCCAAGTGCCACGGGTCGACTGACTGAGATGACTGGCTGATGCACCACCTGTGCCCCCTACTGTGCCAACCTGCTGTGCTTTAGCCACCCGGCGCTCCGCTCGTTGTTGTGAGCGTCGCTCCTCCGCCCTCCGTTGTTGTTGGAGGGCGACTGCCTCCAACTGCCCAGTAGCGTCCTTCACGAGCCTCCTCCACAGAGGCCGATCTTGACACCGCTGGTCACTCCCCCCCCCCCCCCCCACGGCTGCTGACCAGCGCAGCGATATACGGTCAGATCACCTCTATGGCCCACTTGGTGTGGCGGGGCCCTGTTCCAGCAGTCTATCGACCAAAGGGGCTGCTGCTGTACGCGTGAACAAGGACGAAGCGTGAACAATGACGAAGCGTGAACAACAACAAAGCGTGAACAATGACAAAGCGTGAAGAATGATAAAGTGTGAACAACGACAAAGCGTGAACAAGGACGAAGCGTGAACAAGGACGAAGCGTGAACAACAACAAAGTGT